AAACAGCTGGTGCATAACTATTGCGAGCCAATTCGCTACAGGGCTTATCTATAAATTGTGAGAAGGTAGCATTGCCGCGGTTCCCTCGACAAATAGCCGACGGGATTTCTCCATTGAATTACGGATTATTGCAGGAAATAAGCTCAGTGGCAAGCAAACCTTTATGAAACTTAAATCTTTACAAATAAACACCATTTTTTTGATTTTTGATGCGTGAATGCAATCGGCAGAAGTAAAAAAGCTGGCGTGAGGCTATAATAAAACCAAACCACGGTTGCATGAACGCAAGTGTACACAACGAGGATGTGAAGGCGGACTAGTCGGCGTGATGGAGTTTAGTAATCTCATCAAGCCACTTGTTAGCAACAACCTTTTTAAAGACACATAAAAAAAAGCTTCATGGGAGGGATATTTACAGACGTATTTTATATTGTGGAACAAAACGTTAATACGGTGTTGTGTTAACCACATACTTTATTTCAGTATTTCAAGACAAGGGAACCGGAAGTGCATGAATGCTAACTAGTTTACATGGTGTTAGCATTGTCATTTTGAGCATGTTCGCATGCTGATGTAAGCATTTAGCTCAAAGCATTGCAGTTTAAGTAAGTACAGCCTTACACGAGCACGGCTGCAGACTTAGTCTTGTTGTAAAAAAGCTACAACCATGGTCGATATACTGTTTTTTAAGCATCAAAAGTGTTGTAGAATTATCTGTGTACGAATCCACTATAACTAGTTCAAATCATTATAAATATTATATCTGTCTCATCATATTGTGTGTTGTGTGTAGCAGGCGGGCACAGTGCTGGTTGCTTCCGGGCAGGTCGACCCTCTCTGCAACACTAGTCTCTGAGCCCATGTCAGAGAGAGATCCAAGTAGCTGCATCCACTTGAGTCCCAACGTCTCATAGAATTCACTTCAGTATTTCTATTTTTAGCTGCACGAGTGTCATGTCAAAGCTGTGCAAAAACAACAAACGGCAGCGAAACGGCTACTGCCGGCGGTTGGTTTTCATTAAAAACCAACAGACAATGGAACCGACAAGTCTCACGTTGCCCAGAGGAGTACTGCACCTGATACACACAAAAGGGGGTGGGCCCTAATCCCAAGGACACATGAAGGGACTCTCCCCGATAGGAGGCACTTGTTAGCAGACCACTGTGACTCACTCACGCTGGCCATGTGCTGCCAGTTTTTGTGTGCGAGAGAGAGAGAGAGAGAGAGAGAGAGAGAGGGTGAGGCATTGAAACAGAAAGAGAGACATAAAGAGAGAGAGAGAGAGCTAGAAACTGAGATAGGGACTTATCGAAGAAATAAATCAAAAGTTTGCACAGTGAGATAAGCGAGCAGAGCACAAATGTTCTGCACATGACTGCGATGGATGGTGATGGGGGGGATGCCTGCCACCACATCACAGCTGATCCCTCCTCATCCTCATCCTCTTCGGCCTCTGGTTTGACGTTACGTGGGGTCAAGCCTGAAAAAGAGCAGAGTGGGGTTTGACTGCTGCAGTTTCCTGCTGTTGCCATGAGTCACGATGAGGTTTATATCAATAAACATGAGGGTAATTTCTAGCCTGTTACACAACGTGAGTAAAACTTTTGCTGTTTTATAAAGTGGCACAGTCACAACAATCCCTGAGTCACCGGCGGAGAGCTGAGCTCACCGGCTGCGTACTCTGTCGTGCTGGTGACATGTGTTCAACAAGCACCCTGTGCTACAATTCAACTGGGATTTCAGAACTGGTTTTTAAAGGCAGACGTCGTATCTATGTGTCCGTAAGCTGTCTGTATTCGCGTGCGTGCGTTTGAAAATAAACACTCCCTGCCGGGTTCCAGAGGTGATTATTACTATTGACTACCTGCCCTAACCAAGGACATAAATCTTTGTGTGGGAGAGGGAGGAGACAGCTGATAAGGCAGAGAGGGCCATAAATCTCTGCTGTACATGTCCTGACCCATATGAGGTGAACTCATGTCTAGAAAAAGGGGCTTTCTGATCATACCCCTGGGTGTTTTTCACATACGGCTCCCACGCCCCCTCATTTATTCGTGGCCTGTCCATCTCTGTTCTGCGGTTTTGTTGTTTTCCTTCCCCTGTCGCACCTGGGAAAGAGCTGTGTGTGAGGGGGGGGGGGGGGGGTTTCCAACACATTCCTGCTCCAAATGCCTGGGCACAGCCACACATCGCTGGCATTCTTTCATTTAAAGGTGCAGCATTTGTTTGTCTCTTTACAGCAAATCATTCATTCCTACATAGGCATGTAGGTACCTATAGGTTCTCACAATTTGTCAGTGACTTTTATTGCCGAACTATAACCTGAAAACGAGGACATCGGGGACAAAAGTAAGGCACTTAAAGATCCCCCTCCAGACATGCTTTAATAAGTCATATACAAATACTCAGCTTTGAATATTAATTTGTTTCTGGTGAGATTTTATTCACAAGGGTCGTGACAACTCATTTTCTCATTTAGCTTCTTACTATAAGTGATGTGATCCAACATGAACACACTGTTTTCTGCCAAAGTTAGAAGAGATGTAGTTGTTTCACACGAGAGATTTTCTATATTTCTGTTTTTCTTCATGTTCTTCTATTAAAAAATTGATTAGAAACTGATGGCAGTTGGTGGGTTGTCTGTTTGCTGTCAATCAAATGTTAGCAAACCACACCCACACAGTCCAAATGAAGCCAACAAGCTGAGTTTTTAAAGTCTTAAATTAGGAATGCAGTAGTTGTGACATCACAAAATCAAGCTCACACATAAACGTGTTGAACTGGGAATTAAAGAGAGCGCCGAGAAACTTTCCTCCTTCAGCAAATGAACGTTCCAGAGTTAAACTCTGCACAGCATCATTATGCAGAGTGAAGCTCAAACATCCAAGTGAAGTAACAGCAAGCACATGTTTTGAGTGGATAAAAACAAATATGTGAAACATGTAGTTTCTTTCTATAGCATTTAGAAGAATTTCACAAAACTATGTGACCTCGTAGGGTGCAGAATGCAATAGATAGTTTGCTCTTTGCACTCAAAGAATAAAAAAAGGAACTATCCAAACAAGAAAACCGCAGGCTTCAAAAAAAGGAATAATTGCTCAATCTTAGCTGCTGGTCCTCCCAC